TTGCTAATGTGATTTCTCGGGGTAGAGGTCTTTGCTGACTACCAGAAGTCTGAATGACTCAAGTTACAGCATTATCTTTTCACTCCTACACACCATTCGTCTGACTCAGATTTAAGGCAGTTTGGCATTAGGAGGAATTTCATGTTAGAGACGATTGTATCAGAGACACCCCGTCACAAGTCCTGAATGACAAAACCATGTCATTGCTGTCTCTATCGACTGCAAAACACAGCTACAAGTCCTCTGTTTCAGTTGGATAACTAACAAAGAGCTGCTTCTTTTCCTTCTTTAATCAGGAATCCATTCCTTTCCACCAGTAGCACGGAGCAAAGTGGAAAATACAACAAAAAAAATAAACTTTCCATAGGCAAGAGTCCTAAATTATAAATGTGAGAACATTAGATGACCTTAGAAGCAAAGAAACCAAGAAAGTAGGATTATTGTCGAAAGGTGTCACCTTTTTGGAGAAACGCGAGTTGAGAGTCAGCAATGCATTTTTCCAGGTTAGTGGCGATTAATTTGTACAAATTGATATGGGTTTCATGTCCACGTTACAACATAGTGAATTAAATTTGTATCTGGCTGATTAGGTAACACACGCTCTCTCTTCCTCCAGCAAAAAGGCCCTACCCATGGAATGGTGGAGTGCACGTGTATTTGGGTATAATCCATTTATAATGCATCCAAATCTTGCAAAATAATTTTAAGCAGTAAGTTTGTCAAAATTCTCCTTAGTTGTGCATAGCTGGTTACCGAGTGAAGTTAATTTCTGATGTTGCTGCCTTCTTTCATGTTTCATTTCTGATACTCAAATATCTGCCTACCTTTGACAGGAAAAGGAATAATTTATCATAGCATGCTATTCAACTAAAAGCAAAATAGTTCACACAACTTGAATCAAGAGTCCTGCAGTCTACACATTTACACCTACAACCCTACGACTGGCCTTGTACAACCTTTAATTCACTCTACAGGAGCAAATGTGGTGGAACAGCATCTATTTTTGCCGAAGGTTTAAGCTGTGGAATCAGCGACGGCAGGTTCTTGGCAAGGCAGAGCACTGATCCAGTGCCCCTTCAATAGGGCTCAGCTTCAGAAAGGACTGAGCCTCCCTGCAAGTGAATCTTGCAAAAGGCCACTCACATCTCGATGATCAGTGTTTTGAGTACTCAGCTTAGCCGTACCCACTGAGGGATCCACAGTAAGGTTAAAACTCACTTTGCCAGACCCAACACCTGGCATTGTTAAGGTCGCTCATCGGATCCATGTGAGCTCTCACCTCCAGGACACGCCCTTGAGCAGCACTGACATACTTTAGGCATCTTTAGAAATCTGTGTTGCATGAACTTGCAGGTTTCTAACAACAAGGATGGTATATTTTCTAATTTGTAACAGATGGTGTCTAGGCAAAAACTCCATCCTGGCAACTCCTTCATCTCCCAACACCAATGACTTCATAAACTTCAAGTATGCATAATGGATGTTTGAAGTAGGAACTGAGATAGAATATAGGGCCTAAAACAGGAAAAAACCCTCTTAAATGAATGGCCTCCACACAGACAGACACTAGGGCAACACACAAGTTACATATTCCATGAAAACTACAGAGTTCTGAGTAATCATTTATTGGTTATTCTGATCACGAATCTGCAACTAGAACTATAAAAACCAACTTTATAATGATCTGCTCCATGTTTCAAATTATGTTTGGCATATTTCAGTACATATTCAATTCAGATTATCTAAATGCTATTTCCATTTTCTTTCCAGATCTTGCTCATAATTCTCCTCCAGCATGGACTTGCTGGACAAACGTAGTTACTGATTGATAAGCAGTAGTAGGTACACCCTATTATTACCACAAAGTCTTATTTATAACAGACCAGTTTGTAGAATTTTTTAATATCCTATAGGGTTGCAAATCACATAAAAGGAATCAGTTTGCATCCAATAAAAATACCAAAATTATCCAACATAATGTGTGAAAAAGAGGAATTTACACCTGTACCTTGCATGGAGATCAAAGAGTTTTTATTTACTATGAAAGAAACACAGAAGGTGATTAGAAGACAGAACAATGACAATATTTACCATTTGAAAATGCCGAAATGAAACAATGTGTTTTTTAACATTTTTTGTTGCAGACAAGGTAATCTTCAAGCACACATAGCCATTTTAATGCAGGACCAAGTAAAACTAACACTGTTCATAAAGAAAGAGTAAAAATGTGTTAGAATGTAAATTGAATACATTTTCCTTTTACAGCAGTGATTTAAAAAAAATAAACAATCGAAGTACATTTCCAGAATCATCCTCCCTTCTTTTTTTTAACCACAGATCTGAGAACAAGGAAAAGTAACACTAAATTAATTTCTTCATTCACATGGGAAAGCTGACGCAGGTAATTTCCAATGAGGTGTGTCCAGAGGTGGGGGGCTTATTTTAATCTTCTACTTATTTAATAGTTTTCTCAGAGCTTTGCTAGATACTTCAGAAGAAATACTTCTGTATTTCATTTGTTTATCTCTGGCATTTAGTTGGATGATGGACAGAATTTTTTTGGAATTATAGTCAGGATAAATTTGATATGTTCAAATAGGACCAATCTTTTATTATTTTGAAGTCAACCCGGACAAACAGAAGCTCGACAGACTGAAAACAGTCGCTTTATACAGAAATAGGTATGGCTAGTCTTGTTCGACAAAGGCCTGTACCATTACACACAATAATATTTATATTACTTCCCACTGAGAAGTCATAGAAAGCTGTCTTTTCCAGATTATCGGACATTCCAGTGTGCTTAAAATTGCTCACAAAATAGTATTTCTTGAAGCTTGCTGACAACTTTACAAATTTATTTAAAAGGATAATGGAACTTTCTCCTTACATCTGATCCCGGATGCTAACAGCAGTCAGTAGATGTTCAAGGAAATGTAAAACATCTCTTTCCACTCGCACCTACCAGAAGTGAGGAACCAGGCTAAGGCTGGAGCAGGCAGGTGAAGGCATCAATTTAGCAGAGCCCCGCAGCAAGGAGACTGTCCACAGATGTTCGGGACTCAAAATCTGCTACCGCAACGCAGAACGGAAGGAAGAAGCGGTAACAGCGACATCCCCTGCCCTGAATCCTCCTCCAGCTGCAGAAGATGTAATGACCCAGGGTGGTATCGCTTGTCCTCCTGCTGTCTGAGCGCTGGTAAATCTGGACTTCAACAGTCTTATTCATTTATCTTTAAGCTGCTACATGGTTATATATATTTTTTTGATTGGGAGGTATAAAATTACGTCTCCTTGGGCTGTCAGGTTTTTTGCACTCCAGAGGAATCCAGTGCAAAAAAGGAAAATTACACTGCTCTGATAGCCTTCCCATCTACAGCAGGTAGCTGAGCCATACAAGTCATCCAGCAATGAGTTTGGGAGAAAAATGGAGGATAGAACATTCTTTTTTATTCAGATGAAATATTTATTCTCTGTACAACTCATACTGAATATTAAAATCCCCTCACAAGAGAAAAATAAAACAATGTAATGGTAGGATTTCTTAGCAGTCCTGGAGTACTGGTATGCGATGGTCACAGCAGTTCGCTCAGGCCACCGGACTGCCCATCAGCCTTTCTTGCCGAAGAGCAATCAGCCTCTGAAACCACTTCTCTTCTGCTTCTGCCTTCTCGATAAACAGCTGAGAGACAAGGGGCGGGGCGGGGGGGAGAAAAGGAGGCACAGCTCATTAACTTTCTCTTTATTTGTCACAATCCGTTGAAATATGTGTTGACTATTTCAGTGCCCGAAGAAAAAGCCGAGCTGCAGAGGGGTATTAAAATACAAAGGTGCCATAAATACATTAGTAAAGGTAGAGACTTTTAATAACTGGAAAGCCAAGACATTCCAATTTCAGTCTCCTCCTGAAACAGCAAGTTCGTCGCATTGTACAGGTCCTGATCTTTGTTAGCTATGTTCCTTATACAGAACTCGCATTAGTTTGTTTACTGCAAGTCATTTTTAACTTACCAATTCTTGAAAAAACACTACTGTAAGTACTCTGATTTCCGTTACAAGTGCTCACTAAGGATAATGCAAAAATTTAGCCACAATGATTTGAAATCATCTTAAGTTTGTTGTGTATTTAAAGCTTTATGATTTGGCAAGGTGGGCAAGTTCTGAGTCTTCCACCAGGTTTCCAACTACAAAAACCAAAAGAAATTTTTCCTGAAATTTTATTGAACAGGGAGTTTATACAAACAGGATCGTACATTCCCCTGCATTAGATAAGTACGCTACTTTGTTATAAAATTTGTTAGTAACTCTAAAACTACAACACCGGTGAACAACTTCTTTTGTAATTATTCTCTGTTGGATGATGCAAGGAGTGTGATCCTTTTTGAGCCAATGAGTGGCCCGTTAGCTAATGGTCTTCTGACCACAGATTATTTGAGAAGCAGCACAGCAAAATGGTTGTTAGGTCACGTGAACCTGCTCTCATTCAATGGGCTGTCTTGTTCTAAAAATAAAGCATATACCGGCGCACTTACATTCGGATGTGCTAAGGAATTATCATCTTGATATTTGATGGCAGTAGGTATATTGGCAGGTGGTGGTTCTTTTTCAGGAGCAGATGCATCAACGGTTCCCGCTCCGACGGTTACAGGTTCATATTGTAGTTCAGTAGGCTCTACTGACTAAAAAGAAACACACACACCTGAGTATTTTATCCTCAAGCTCCCAAATGTGGCAGTATCTTAACCGAGCACTTGGCTTTCTTCCCATTGCAATGCGTGCCCATGAAAGGATCCTCATGCAAATACTTCTCAGCGTGCTTAACGGGACACACTGGACATGGACTAAGGTCCAGACTAAACACATGAAGTGAAAAAAAAGGTATTGCCAATGGCAATGAGAGAGCTTGGAGAACCGTAGCTTTGGGTTTTTGGATCACTTTCTGAAGAAGCTGCATGAACCTCTTGGAGACTTCTGAAAAGGCAAGAAAATGCCTGTTCTCGGGGAAACACACAGTGGTAATCCAATATTGGTAACACCCATCTGATAATTCAGATGGAAAAACTGAAAAAAACCTTTGCTTGCATACTTCCAAAGACAAAAGCATCCCAGTTCCCTAGAAGACTTGGCAGCCAAAATGCAGGTAAAATTCTGAAACCTGGATGTCTCACGCCAGGTTTTTGGAAAGCTGTCAGAAAACAATGTCGTTTTGCCTCAGGGAGTAAATATGGTCTTAAAGCCTGGCTTCAGTTCAGCAGAATTAAAAATACTGATCTCTGCCTTTGGTTACAATGTAAATGTCTTCTTATTTTGGATTTTAATTCTTCTACTTTTCCTAAAAAAAAAATCTTCACAGTTTTATATGATTTTAAAAGAATTTTTAAAAAATCAGACTTGCTCAGCATAGGTAGAGTATACTGTCAAAACAGCTGATTCCATTGAAATTATTACAAATTTAAATGTATTCTTCTTTGAACACCACACCAAGACCAGAGGAGAGTCGTTGGTGGGATTTAAGATTGTCAACATTGATGCTCTTTCATCAATGGAAACTATTAATAGCGCAGCTTCCACCTGACTTTGAAAGGATTATGCACCAAGAAAGGATATTGAAAACTTACCTTTTTGACTTCTTTACTTGATCTGAATGTCTGTGGAACAAAGGAGTCACTTTCAATAGCTTCAATTTCTTTCACTCGTTTCACTTGCTCTACTAGGGTGGCTTGGTCTACAAAGAGAAGGTGTAATGTCAGGATACATTAGTCGAAGCCTATGATAAATGCTGCGTCTAAGCAATGCCTTGAATATATTTTACAACAGAACATACCAGAAAATAAACTTGTAATGCAGCCTAAAATACTCTGTTACAAAGAAAACCTTCTCCTTCAGTAAAAGTAACAGTGAGTTGGCCATTATTGTTCAATGTATTGAACAATACAATGTATTGTATAAATCATTCAAGATGCTAAGTTAAAAATTTGCTAGAGATGTCCTCGCAGGACAACTGCTAGATTTATGGCATGAGGATTTCCTGGAGAAGTTACGGATTTGTGGACAGTGCAGATGACTCGGTGGAGAACAATCTGTCTGTAGTAGTAAAACTACTTCTGCTTGCATGGAGGTGAATTTGGCTTCTGCTGCAGATGTCCTGAGAGATGTGCCATCATCTGTGTTCTCCTCACGGACAAGCTATGTGATTAGTTCGGCATTAAGAGTTATGTCATTAGATGGATTTGACAAAAAAAAATTTAGAATTTGGTAATAAAATAGTCATAACACACTAAATATTGTGTGCTCATATGATTTGTAGGTGACAAAAGCGCAGCTCTTTATCAAATGAGCAAAATTGTTTCTTTATTGTACTGAGAGGTCTTACAATGCTTACATATTTCACAAGATATTTTTGAATCCCAGGCTGAGATTTTATGTTGAAGCAGCGAATGCAAATCCCAGTGACCTTACGGTGAAGAAAAGCAGTTCCTGCCAACCTTGGTATGTAAACGCGTAACTGGGTGCTGTCAGGTAGGCTTTGCTAGTTCTCTCAGTGCTTAACCAGACAATCTTCTGGATAGATTAGACTGCGCCCACTAAATTAACAACCTCATTATTTATCAACAGGTTGTACTGCAAAGCTGTTTTATTTTCAGTCCCGGGAAGTATGGCTTGCTCATTACGGTACATCTGACACAAAAGTAGTTGCTTTACTGCCTGTTTCATTTTCTGCTTCTCCAGATTCACAGCTCAGTTAATCTTTCTTACCTACTTCTGCATCTACCTGCCGTGACAAGCAAATCTTGAATTCATTCTGCTAACTGCAAGCTTTCGTTTAAAATTTTAACCAATTTATCTTCATCTTTCTTACTTACGATAACCGTTTGCTTTATACATAGTACACTGGGGACAACCTGAGGTGGTCGAGACACTGTGTCGGAGAGTGGTGGACAGTTTTCGCTGCGAGCAGCATTTATGAAATAGGTAAGGCAGACGAAAGATAGGAAGAGATGTAACTTCCAAGCAGCAAACAAGAACGTGCCCTGTTGCATCAAACTTATTTGGGACTATTGTTCAGTCTCTAAGGGTATGATGGACGGAAAGATCAGGAACAGGCTAACTATTTTGGCGTATGTTGAACGTGCAGAAAGTCAAATACACCGACTGCTGAGCCTGGGTAACTGCCTACAGCACTCTGACTGCTTCGGGCAGCGAGCTTGTACCTGACGTCTCAGTAACGTCACTGAAGCCAAGCAGGAGGTTTGCGCCACTGCGGGCAACGTGCAGGGAGCAGCATGCTAGCCCCCCGGGGGAGAAAGGCTGCCTGGATCGCAGCGACGCAGGCTGTCCTCAGCTGGAGCTGGCCATAACCGGGAGGGCCGTGCTCCGAGATGCGCTGCTCCCGTGCACGGCCAGCCGCGCACCCCTGGAAGGGTTTCGTGGAAGCCTCAGTAAAGCTCCAGCTTTGGCAAGGCTTGGGACAAGAGCTGCCCTACCACAAAGTGCATGAGTACATCTTTAAGTCTGATTCTTTTGAATTTAGAAGGAAAAAATCACTTGCTTACATTGAGCTTGTGTTTAAAAGTTCTGCTGCCTTGCTGCTAAAGCCTTCGTTTTAAAAAAAGATTCCTAAGGATCCCATAGGAAGTACAAAAACAAATATACTAATGCCCTGCTAGAGAGAGGAAATCATAATTCACCAAGCTCTTGGGTCCATCTGGTTTGAGGGTAGATAAAGGAACGGTAAGTGTGCCTGGTAGTCACAGTTTAAAAGCAGGGGTCGGGGAAAGGCAGGTGAATGTTGATTTAAAATCAGTTGCTCAACTCTTATTTCACAAAACCTACGGTCAGTTCCCAGCCTGTTATAGCATCTTAGATGAATCCTACACAAACCTATGGGAATGACAAATTATTAAGGGGGCAAAAATCACTAAATGTTTAGAATTACATCAGTGACATTAACTGGGGGAAAATGGACCGGAGGAAGCACAACCCATTAGCGTATGAGTTTTTTGACAAACACATTATTGGTAGATAAAACGACTTCCATATGTTGTTTGTCAGATGTCAGTAGAAAGGATATGTATTTCATAGTAAAATCAAAAATAATGGAGTCAGAAAGCTAAAAGGCTACAGACAAAAAAAAAAAATCAATACTAACTCATTGCACAGCAAGTCTTTTTACCGTGTTACTGTGAAAAAAATAAACTAAACCCGGTATTAGGGCTCGTTGAGGCCGTTTGTTATGAAAAGGCGATTCCGGCAGCAGTCGCAATTACCATTCCCGTCACCAGCTCTTTCCCGCTGACGCGTGGCCGTGGCGGCACGGCGCGGCG